TGCATAAGCACACATCCCAACCCATTGTGAGATGCATCACTAAAGATTACATAGTCTTTGCTCGAATCAGGTTGTACGAGCACTGGGGCCTCTGTTACGATTCTCTTTAGTATTTCAAAACTTTCTTGGCATTTCTCTGACGAAACAAAAGGCACTTCTTTCTGTAACAACTTAGTTAGCGGTGAATCTAACATTGAGAAGTTCTTCACGAATCGTCTATAATAACCAGTAAGCCCTAAGAAACTCTGAACTTTAGAAATATTCTTTGGGGTTGCCAATCCATTATAGCTTTAATCTTTTTGGTAATATACTCTCATGCCTTCTGCGGAGACTATATGTCCAAGGAAAGCAATCTCAGCTAACCAAAATTCACACTTGGACAATTTGGCATACAACTTCTTTTCTCGAAGTTCTGAAGAACCCTCAAAGATAAGCATCATGTTCCTCTTTTGACTTGGAATACACCAAAATATCATCTATAAATACTACCACAGATTGATCCAAGTAAGGTTGGATTACTCGGTTCATCAAGCCCATAAATACTGCAGGAGCATTAGTCGATCCAAATGGCATTACCACAAATTCATAGTGTCTATACCGAGTCTGAAAAGTTGTATTTGAAATATCATCATCTTTTATCTTTAATTGATGGTACATCGACCTTAGGTCTATCTTAGAGAACACTGATACGCCTTTCAATTGATCTAATAGATCATCAATCCTCGAAAGAGGATATTTATTCTTTATTGTTACTTTATTTAACTAACTGTACTCGATACATAATCTCATAGACCCGTCCCTCTTTTTCACAAAGAGTACTTATACTCCCCAAGGAGAAACACTGAGTCTGAAAAATCCCTTATCAATTAGCTTTTGCAATTGGGCTTTTAATTCTCTTAATTATGTTGGAGCCATTAGATATGGAGCCATAGAAACAGGTTCGGTACCTGGGTAAACCTCAATCTGGAATTCCACCTCGCGATCTGGAGGTAATCCTGGAAACTCCTCGGGAAAAACATCCAGAAACTCTTTAATCGTGGGAATAACATCTACTCTCACTTTCGATACTCGAGTGTCTATCATGTTAGATAGAAAATCTATACACTCTTTTGACATAATTTTCTTTGCAGTCATGGTTGATATCGCATTGGATGGTGATTTCACTTTTTCGCCAATCACTACTATTTTGGAGCCCTTCGCATCCTTAAAAAATAATCACTTCTTGCGAAAATCAACCCATCCATGATGTGGAGACAACCAATCCATGCCAAAAATGATTTCAAACTTGTCAAAGGGAAACTCCATCAAGTTTGCCGAGAACACAACCCCTTGAATCTTTATCGGACATTTTCTACATACCCGCGTTACTCTCACACTATGACCCATAGGGTTTACCACTATCATCTCACTAAAGATTGGTTCTAAAGGAAATCCTCTAGCTCTAACCAAATTTGTACTAATATAAGAGTGGGTGGAACTAATGTCAATCAAAACAAACACATGTTCATCAAAAAGATGGAAAGTACCTGTTAATATCTTTGGGTCATTCCAATCCTCATTAGTCTTAATATTATAAATTCTGGCCACTCCCCGAGTCTCTTGTCGCTGGTTTGACTCAGATTATCCGCGGATCTTCCTCTTACTATGTTTCTATTAGATGCTACTACTTATCTCTCAGTTTTCACTAATCTATCTCTGGATCTCTTTGGGCAATTTCGAGTATAGTGACCATATTCACCACAATAAAAACAAGCGCCAGAGAGCAATCTACATACTCCTCGGTGCGATTTGCCACATGTCTGACATGGAGTTCTCTCTCCAAATGTTCTACTCGTTCCAGCAATAAAAGACTGGGATTGTTTAGTTTTATGCGAAGCTGCAGCAGAACCATCTCTGTCAGTATATCGGAACTCAAACCCTTACCCATCTTTGCCTGATGGGAAGTTTAAGATATTCCAACTCTTTTTCCTGTCTACAAACCTTTCTCTGCTACTAGAGTCTCCTCTTGAGCTCTTTCAATGGCCTTAGCTCTGTTAATAACTTCTTGTAAGCTAGGCAAATTTAAAGCAACATCATCTCTTTCAATTTAGGCCTCAAGCCCTTGATTAACCAATCACGTCGAGCTTTGTCATTGGGAACTACCTCAATAGAAAAACGACTAAGCTTATTGTACTCAGCCTTGTACTAATGTACTGCTCGATCGCCTTGTTTCAGATTAAGAAACTTCAGCAGCATCACCATCATAAACTACTCCCCGATGTACTTATTCTTAAACTCGTCATGAAAGAATTGCTATCACCTGATCATGTGGTGCATACATTATAGTGTTTGTCACCACACCCGAGCTAATCCTCAAAGTAAAGATACAGCTCTGCCCAACTTTTTAGAATCTGAGTACTGTAGACTTTCCAACATCACCATAACATCGTTTAACTATAAATTAGCATCCATCGACCTTCGTCCTCTTCTCCCTGTAACTCAGGAGCTCCCAAACTTCTCAACTCTTTTGGGATTAACATCCGCAGGGCTGGCAGAATAGGGAAATGTGGAGAAGGTTAAAAACGAGTCAAGATTGCATCGGAGCCTGCATGAAAGCTCCAAACACTGGCACTGGCATACCCTGATGTGTCGATGCACTAACATTTTCAGACGAAATCGGGTTCTCACTATTAGCTTCATAGCTCTCGCTTCCAGACCCTTCTCTAATTTCTTGATCATTCGCTCTTCTTGAATTCGTAGAATCTGACATCTAATAGAACATACATAAGAATAACACTTAAGTTAGTAAGGAGTGACATCAATCATATTTTAACTATACCCTATCAGTAACCTTGACATCTAGTGTCATGTAATTCCTTTTTACAATAAAAAACACCAGCTTTCGGTCGAGAATCAGCTAAACCTATAGTTCTGATACCAATAAATGTAACACCAATTCCCCTATACGTTTTCATACATGAGTCATAGATGGCACATCACTTTTAAAACTTTTCACTTTTGAAAAACCAGTAAAAATTTTGTTTCAATCATAAAACATTCTAATTTAATAAACTAAAACATTCATTTAATTATAATATGTACACATATCTTAAAGGTTCGAACATCTTTAATTTTACATCATCATATGTCAAAATACTTTTCAGATCATATTCCTAGGTATATTACATGCCAACTAAATACATCAAAAGTAGACATGGTTGTCGTACAGTTACTGATGAAGCGCCCTTGATTTGTGATGTTAGATGCACTCCTTACTCCGTTCGTGCTAATACCTATATGTGAAATCAACACACGCTAAGTAATCACTTAGTGAGGTGTAATAAGATTGAGGTAAATGTTCTTTTAAAACATACATATACCATGACTATCAAAATATAAATTGATATTTCAACTCATTATAAATTCAGTGGTTTTCGCACACGTAGTGCCGATACGGTAATTCACAAACTCATTATGAATTACATGGGGTGCACACATAGTGCCAATACAGAAATTCATAAACTGATTATGAATTTCTTATATTGCACATATATTGCTAATACGAAAATTCATAAACTTATTACGAATTTCTTAGGTTACAATATAGTGCCAATACGAAAATTCATAAACTTATTATGAATTTCTTAGGTTGCACATATAGTGCCAATACGAAAATTCATAAACTTATTATGAATTTCTTAGGTTGCACACATAGTGCCAATACAGAAATTGCAAAACATACATTAAACAAAATGTATCTATGACTATCATAACATATAAGTACATAATTAATGCACTCACCTTGTATGCCTCAATAGAATGCATTACTAATGTCCGACTAATCGACAACTTTATATTTCCCTTTTTCTTGCTAAACTTAGGAGCTTGATTTTGATCTACAAGAGTATCCATAATTACACATACAATACAAATGTTAGTATACTTTCTAACATTTATACTTCTAATAATACTCAAAAGTACTATTATTTCCAAATTCTATAAAATTTCATCCTATTTTAACATTTCAGGCTGACTGGTATCGGTACCCCTCCTATGGTATCGATACTTCTATACTATGGTACCGATACTCCCTTTTAGTATCGATACCATTTCTGTATTCTGGAATCCATGGTATCGATACCTTTCTCTTAGTATCGATACCCACATCAGTATCGATACTAGTTGCATCAGTATCGATATTGTTCATCGTATTTCTTCAAATTTAAATCTATAGTATCAGTATTGTTCTTCTAGTACCGATACCCTTACCCAGATTTTCCATTTTTTAGCTCATTTTTATCTTGATTTTGTTTAACTCTCTTACTTTTTCCTCAAACAATACCATTAAACTCACTATTACTTAACCCAACTAACTTTCCTCTATTTAGCTTCTTATAACACCCAAATTCTCTAAAGAACACTCCAAACCAAGAATCATACTACTTTTCTAATATGTTTTCAATCACATCCAAGGCTTCTATTCTCTTATTTACTTATTTGACAAGTCAAATATACTTGTAAACATCAATAAAAACTCATATTTCAACAAATCCCTCAAAAACCCATTTTCTTCAATCTAAATAAAACATTCATTTCTTAGTTTTAATCCTCTTTAACCCTTCCTTAAGCTTACAAAGTTTCAAGAACAAACCAGAAACGAAAGGAAAAACTAGCCAGATGAATGGAGGAAAGCACGGGCAATGGGGGAAAAAGAAGAGAAAATAACTTAGTTGACTTTTTCAACTTTCCCCTTTTCCCCTTTCTTAAATACCCTAATTAAAAAGAATTTTAAATTCATTTTCCTCTAAAGGACCAAAATGCCCTTTCATTCTTCCATTCTTACTAATTAATCTTAAACCCAATTTCCTAATTCATTTCTTGTACTTTACTATTTATTCAAATTAAGTCCTCTAAATTTTAAATCTTTTTATTATGGTCATCGACCTGATATTTGGGGTATTATAAAACCAGTCACTGATCCCCGATAGCCCTTTATTAGACCCATTATCGGCATCACTGGCATGGCAGGGCTGAGCTTAGCTGAAGCCTTGAAGATCCCTAAAGCCCTTGTTAGTCCCTTGAAAGTTTATGGTTCAGCAATGCCAACTTGGTTTCCTTCTTCGGTCCTCGATAAATACATCGTTTTCGATGTTACCGACACTGGCGACATGGCAGATAAGGTCGCTCTTTTCTCCGGCGAAGTCACCCATGTGTTCTAGGTGGCCATATAGGTTCATGAAAGTGAACAAGTAAATGTCACAGTTAACGCAACTATGTTAACCAATGTTCTCAACATGTTGGCCGCTGTTTAAGACTCAGCCACATCACGGTTCAGACTGGCACCCAACATTACATGAGTCCGATCCATGATCTATCGGAGATGACTCGTGGTTCCAACCCCCATGAACCGCCCTTTATGGAGGATTTACCCCGGTTTCCTTACCCTAACTTCTACTACGCACTTGAAGACTTCGTGAAGTCATACGTACCGACGTTGACATACATTGTTCACTGTTCGTCGATCATAATCTGTGCTACTTACCCTAACAGTGTATGCATCGATCTGCTGATATGAGGGTTTACCATTCTTTTACTTCGGCAACCGGTACACATGGGAATATTTCTACGACATGTATGATGCTCGAGTGTTGGTAGAGTAGCAAATATGGGAACCAAAGGCACCAAGGACCGAGCTTTTAATTGTACTAACGGTGATGTATTCACATGGAAAGCCGTATGGAAGAAACTGTGTGACATATTTGATCTCGAGATCATTACGTTCGAGGAATCCAAAAACTTCGATTTCGTTGAGTTTATGACTGAGAAAAGCAAAGTTTAGGATGAGATTGTAGAAAAGCATGGATTATACAAGACAAAATTGAAGGAAATTACATGTCTAATGGCTCTTAAAATTGTGTTGCATTTTGGGTTTCAACATGTGTGTAGTATGAACAAAAGTAGAGAATTTGGGTTCTTTGGGTATGCAGATTCTCTGAAAAATATTCCTCTGTGGGTTGAGAGACTGAGACACATGAAGATTATACCTTAATTTCTTTATATTTTGATGTCACTTACTATTGTTCTTCCCAACCTTAAGACTTCATACATATATACTGATGGAGTCAATTGAATAAATTTAAAGTTTTTATGTTTAATTTATTTAAATAAAAAATCTATTTATAAACATTTTAATATTTATTATTTTACTCATTAAATAAATTATGTCATGTTTGAATATAATATAATTTTTTAAAATTATGAGTTTGGTGGGCATTTGGGTCATAAGTTTGGTTATCATTAAACCCAACGAGCTCAAATTGTGTTCCATATTTTGACCAGAACTAGGCTAAGACATAATATGTTTTGTTTTGTCTTGTCTCAACTGTCAAGCCCAATATTCCTTTTTACCGAAAAAGTAGTTCAGGTACACAAAGGAAACCACCGCCTTAATAACACTCAACTACCCATCTTGTTCCACATCACAACCCCAAACACCATTCACACTAGTAGCAGATTTAGAAATTCACACCAGTAGCATATCTAAAAATAAAAAAATAAGGGTCCAAAATCTTTATATTTTATTCTAAAAAATTTGCATATATAAATTTTCATATTTTTTTCTATTCTTATTAATAAATTAAACTGAATTTAACATTTTTCTCAAAATAATAATATGCAATGACTCCCCTAAAGAGCCACATACATCCGCCACTGATTCACGCGTTCTAAGAAACATTACCCTCCCAATTCCAGCTATAAAATTAATATCATTATTTATAGAATATAACGAGGATTAAATATACAATTTTATTAATTTTATTAGTTTGAAGATTATTATTTTTAACTAACATTAAGGAAATATGATTTAATTAGTATTATTTAAAATTTTAAGTGATCTAATTGAAAAAAAAAACAAAGTCAGGTATAGTTTCATTTAAAAATAGTCACGAGTATAATTTACCTAATAATATAAAAAAAATTAAATTATAAGATCAAATATAATTTAGATTCATAGAAAAGACGAATTGTGAACTAAGCAGGAGCCAGGATGGGACAGAGACATAAAAGAGAAAGGGGAGGGAAGAAAAGCCATTGATGGCGTTTAAATGCTTAGTGGGTGTGTTAATATCCGAGTGTTCAACGTGACTGTGGGGTCTACTCTCTCAAGAGTACAGCTATTTTCATTACTCCTAACTCCCTCCCTTCCCTTCTCTTTTGGTTTAGTCCCTCATTCATGGCTTCTCCGTGTCCTCTTACATTTTCTCACTTCCGTCCCTAATTCCTTAACAACCCATTGTTTTAACCTCTTTTCCACTTTTAGTGTTTTTCTTGTCTATGTTGTGTTGTAACCGTTTGTTTCATTAAAGGAAAGAAGACATGAACGCTGGGGTGTCCCTCAAGTACAGTTTCACCATGTTCCTGCTTGAATTGTTCATGTTTTTCGCCTGTGAGTGATTTCAAACCCTTCTTCCCCGTTTCATTTACTTTGGGTGTTTCTCATATGTGCATGATCTATTTGTTTTACCATTTGGTTCATTGTTGTCAAAATTGCTTCTTTCTGTATCTGGTCTTAAAGAAACGAATTCTTTCTTGGATTTCAAGGCTTGTAAATTCTGTGCTTTATGTGGGAAGGTTCTTGATTGAAGACAGTGCTGTGTTAACTTGTTAAACCTTTTACTTTCTTGCATTATGGGTGCTTTGATTCTGATATATTGTAGGCGCTTGTGAAAGTTGATGTTAGTTAATAGTTTGCTAGTGACTTACTGTACTTTACCAGAGTTTCTGCTGACAATTACTTGAAATTTCAGTGTTTGAATCTGAGATCTCTTGACTACTTGTAAACTGTCTATTCTGATGTTAGGGTGAAACTGGGAACAGACATAGCCTATGTTGGTTTGACACTTCTCTTGAAATACTTGCGTCGAATCTATGTCCGGATATATGTATGTACTACATAGTGATATGAACCTCCAAATATATAGACAAATCAAGGAAAAATCAAATAAAACAATGTTCCAGTAACATAAGCATGTCTTATCAATGACATTGTCGTACAGACCCGTGCTAAACCGCCCTTTAAGGCGCAAGTATAGCAGTTCACAAGTCCTGGATGAGTTTAGGATTTTTATGGGTTTTCTTTCTCCAAAGGTTGTAGATTACCTTTTGTTGCCTTTGTGTAGCATCAGTGCAAGACTGGAAATTTCACATCTTACTTCTCCCGGTATCTTAAACTCCGATCCATGCCTTCGTTTCAGGCTTCCATGAATGTTTATCCAGCCCACCAGATCATCGTAATGGTTATATGTTAACAGACGGGACGACGGATGCTTTCTTACCTAACATTACTCCAACCGCAGCTCCTCAGCCATTTCTTCCTCTGCTTGCACCTTCTCCACTGTCACCCTTCACAACTAGTACTTCTCCTAAATTATCAGGTATGTTTTACTTAGTAGGGTAATTGGAACGCGAAAGCTATTTGGATGTAAGTGTATGATTGCGGTTTCTGCTTGGCCTTTTGTAGGACTTTGTATGTTAAATTTCACTGCTGCTCAAAGCTTGATAAGCGTCACCTCGATTGATTGTTGGGCTGCATTTGTTCCATTGTTGGCAAATGTAATATGTTGTCCGCAGCTACGTGCTACTCTTGTGATTCTTGTTGGTCAATCAAGTAAAGAGACTGGCGTTCTCGCTCTAAACAGAACCCTTGCCAAGCCTTGCCTCTCGGCTATTGAGAATGTCCTGACAGGACAGGGCGCTGGTGAGAATCTCAAGCACATTTGCTCGATTCATCCATCAAACCTTACTGAAGCATCTTGCCCTGTGAAAGACGTCGACGAATTCGAGGACACCATAGACACTTCTGAGCTTTTTGCTTCATGTGAAAAGATCGATCCCGTGAAAGAATGTTGTGACCAAGTTTGCCAAAGTGCCATATCGGATGCTGCAACAAGACTTGCACTGAAAGCTTCTGATCCTCTGAGCATGGATGGGCCCCATGTTTTACCCGAGCATTCGACAAGGGTAAACGACTGTAAAACTGTCGTCCTTCGGTGGTTGGCAAGTAAACTCGACCCTTATCATGCAAAAGAAGTTCTCAGAGGACTAACCAATTGCAATGTCAATAAAGGTGAGTTTGGACTAAAGCATAGATGCATACATCTGTATTGGCTTCGTATTTAAGTTATTTTTAGATTTATTGTTTGGTCGTCTTGTGCTTCAGTTTGCCCTCTCGTTTTCCCGAACATGAAGCACGTGACAAACAGCTGTGGAAATGGGATAAGCGACCAGGCGGCTTGTTGTGATGCTATGAATAGCTACGTTTCTCACTTGCAAAAGCAGACCCTGATCACCAACTTACAAGCATTGGATTGTGCTACGTCGCTCGGGTTGAAGCTCCAGAAATACAATATCACTAAAGATGTTTATAGCCTATGTCATATATGCCTCAAGGATTTCTCCCTTCAAGGTTGGTTTTCTTGCTTTGTGCAACCATGATGAGCAAACTGAAGTGATCGATTTGAATTGGTATTAACCCTTTATTCTTTTCGTCTCCATGATCGATTTTGATTCCGATTGCCAACAACTTCTATGCATCAGTTGGAAGCCAGGGTAAGATTCTTCTCCACTCGGAAATTGTAGCATAAATTTGGTTTTAGATACTGGGAATTTGTTCCTATATGCATCTCTTATCTTTCACCGCGACTTCTAATATCTTTAGTTGGTACGTGAATTACGTTGAAACACACTGTTTGGAATCACGTGTACCGCATTATATTATCTATTCCTCTGGTCATTGACGATTTTAACATGTCTAAATAGTGTGTTTCTTTCCGCTGCTTTTAGCATCCGGATGCCTCTTGCCAAGCTTACCCTCTGACGCAACGTTGGACAAGTTTTCCGGGATCAGTTTCATTTGCGATCTGAACGATAATATTCCCGCTCAATGGCCCTCTATGTCACTACTACCAGCTTCATCATGCAATAAAAGTATGTACCCTTGAGTTCACCCCTAGACCCTAGTTCGAGTATTTCATATTACAACATGATTTCGAATTACCTTGATGTTATTTCCCTCACGGCTCTCGCCGTCATTTATTAATTTTCACCTGGATTTCTGGCGCGCAGCTGTAAGAATTCCTGCACTACCAGCAGCAACAAATGCTCAAAATGGTAAGATAAAGACCTTTGACTCAAATTTGTCAATGCCGTCTGGCCATGCAGACTCGAGCATTGAACTGATTCTTGGCCTCTTTGCATCTTCGTTCTCACTTTCGCAGGTCTTCACACTGGATATGCTGCGGTTTTTCTCCTCGTCGCATCTTTGATGGCCGTAACGAAGCTCTTACAAATATAGTTCGAGGGTAGCCTAATTCGATCTTTTCCGAGATCCCCATCATGCATACAAAGCTGAAGATAACTGGAAGCAAGTCTTGAAAGAAAAGGTTGTATGCTATGATACTGACATAACTCTTGGTTTATTAAAAAGATTAAGCAGAGACCAGAGGTGGATTGAAGTTGATGCGTCTGATCATATTTAATTCACGATTCTTGCAGGGTTTTGTGTAACAATATGTTGTAAAGTAAATAACATGGGAGAGAAGACAGACAGATATGCTGTTTTGTCTTGTATCTATGTGTGTATTCTCAAGTATAACATGTAAATTTTGATTGGTAGATAGGATTTTTACTCGGCAAATTTCTTGAACTTCAAAACGATCTATATGTACGTATAAATCATTTTTTTTACATCAGCCTAATTACCGGCTCAAATCTGACACGAAACATACTTAAAATACTTGTATCAAACTAAAAACGTGTGTATCTACTTCACGGATAGTTTAATTTTGATGTATTAAAATATCATCTAAATTGTTGGCATTGTTTTTTATCATGCCAAATCCATATTTAGGAATCAATTAAGATCGGATTCTTACAACACTGATACTTCAGGGATTTAATTAAAACATGTTGAAATCTAGTGACCAGTTTAGACAATGGGAAATAATTTAGGGACTCTTAGTGCAATTAACCCTACATATGATATAAAGTTAGTATGGTTAATTCGTCTATTCATTTAGCAGTGGTGGACGTGTCCATCCTGAAATTTAAAATTTCTATGTTTAGTTCTTTATTTTTATTGATGAGGTCAATCTTAAAATTTTAGTTGTGCATGCTCTATTAAAAAAAATTTGTTGCTAGCCTATACCTGCCCATTTTCGAAAAAGTTTCTGAATCTACCACTTCATTTGGCCATAAAAATGGTTGAGAAAAGGATGAAGAATAGGTGCTAAAGTAATGGATGCTGCCTTACAGAGAAAACCAGCATCAATAATCACTTTACATAATGTACACACATCGGTAAAAAGAATCACCGTAATGAATTGTTACTTTTTGAAGTTTTGGGTTCGAGCACTAGAAATGTTAGGGTATGAGCATTCAATGTGTGATTGAGATTTATTTTTGAACATATATTAACTTGTACTTATTCCAATTAATTAAAAATATATATATACGGTATCTATTACGGTATGGCAACTGTTATGGTATACTTGATCAACTAGCGTCATCAATTTAGTACTATGTGCTTCTCACCATTTCCTAGCTATTTAGTATATCTATGTATCCACCATAGCTAGGAACTCTACAACTGCTAGGTGAAAGCCATAGATTCTCAACAGGACCTAAATCAGCCAATCTTGATCGACTCCATGCATGACCACCACCCACCAACACCTGAATCAATTCATGGTGTCGACTCGAGGCTCAAGCGAGTTTTGTCGGACGACGAGCTTGTTAACTATGAAAACAACATGGAACAAACAGAACAAAAGAGTATTGAGCTATGATTCAAGACTTTTTTTATACACTGGTTGAGCAGCTATTTAAAGACTATGGCTCTAGTCTGTTACAACCGATTAACTACTTAACCACCTCTAACCACTACATAACTGAATGTGGTTTAACATTTACCCTGCTTCTTACAAACCTCTTTTTGCTCAAAGACACAATTTACTTTTGAACAAATCAAATTTAGCCAAGGGAAGAGGTTTAGTTAGTATGTCTGTAATTTGGCTACTGGTTGGAACATAATTGATTTGCACTTCATGTGCTGCCACATTCTCTCGTACAAAATGCAAATCAAGCTCGATGTGCTTGCTTTTTGCATGCAATATGGGGTTGGCAGCCATAGTTACTGCACTGGTATTATCGCACCATAGCTTAGGTTCTTCAGGGAGTGCAATATGCATCTCTTGTAGCACAGCCTTAATCCATACAACTTCAGAGGTGGCATACGCGAGACTCCTGTATTCAGCTTCTGCAGTGGACCTGGAAACTGCACGTTTTTTCGAACACCATGACAGCAGGTGGTTCCTGTTGTACACACAGTATCCAGAAATCGACTTTCTGTCATCAGCATCTCCTTCCCAATCAGAATCCGAGAAGGCATGGAGTGTCACCAGCTTTTGTGCTTGAGCAGGAAACCAGAGGCCAATTTCCAGTGTTCCTCGCAAGTACCTCAGAATGTGCTTGACTGCTAGCCAATGAACCTCAGTGGGCTCTTGCAAGAACTGCGCAACTTTGTTGACAGCAAACGAGATATCTGGTCTTGTATGGCAGATGTACTGCAGTGCCCCAACTACACTTCTATACTGTTGAGGCTTATGTAACACTTCTCCATCATTCTTGCTAAGTTTGGTTGTGGTTTCCATAGGGGTGGATGCTGAATTCACACTTGACATTTGATTCTTATGTCAGTTCAGTAATAAATTTTTTTTGACTGAGGAACAGGCAATTATCCGATCGGTGTACTTCTATTCCAAGAAAGTACTTGAGTTGCCCGAGATCCTTTAGAGAAAATTTCTCATGCAGGGCATGAACTATTCGATCAACCTCAAGTTGAGAACTGCCTGTGATGAGAATATCATCCACGTACAAAACCATGTACACCACTTCACAATCTTCTTGGCGAACAAATAGTGAGGAGTTGCCCTCGATGATTTGAACCTTAAGGTGAGCAAGAAGTCTCTTAGTTTGAGGAACCAGTTTCTTGGAGCTTGCCTTAACCCATATAGTGCCTTCTTCAACTTGCACACTAAGACAGTTCCATCATTGGACTGTTCTTCAAAGCCAGGAACCTGTTGCATATATACATCCTCACTCAGATCGCCTTTTAGAAAAGCATTGTTGACATGCACCTGTCTAATTTTCCAGTGACACGAAATAGCCAGTGAGATTAGTATGTTTACTGTGAAAAGACAAACTACTGGACTAAAAGTGTTCATAAAGTCATAGCCTGGTATTTGAGAATACCCCTTGGCAACCAGTCTATCTTTCAACCTCTCAACCGAGCCATCAGCATGTTTTTTTACCTTGAAGAGCCATTAGCAGCCAATGGTTTTCCTACCAGCTGGCAACTCTACAATGTCCCACGTATTGTTGCTAATAAGTGCATTATATTCAGCCATTACAGTCACCCTCCAATCATCATCTTCGAGAGCAGCTTGAATGTTACCAAGCACTGATTTGCATTGAACTGTATAAATTTTTGGCTTAAAGATCCCATGCTTGCTACGCATTACCATTGAATGAGTATTGCTTACTCGATTTGCTAAAACAATTCCTGAGCTTTGAACCTGCTCAGTAGAGACAAGATGATCTTGCTCATCAGAGACCGATTGCTCTTGTTGAGAAGATGCATGCTGCTCTTGTTGAGAGAAGACACTAGCAGAAGATTCATGGCCAGTAGAGCCAGATTCAGTATTTATTGAATGCTCTCCAGAATGTGAGTGTAGTTCATTTCCTGTAAGTGGACTGGCACTGCTTGCTTCAACTCCTTGATCAGTACTAATATCAGTGTTAGTATATGACCTTGGCACAAGTCTGGTATGCTCGTATAGACTGCTAACAACTGGTACAGCCCTAGATCGCACACCTTCATCACCATCTTTCTTATGAGTTGCTGCTATGTGAGTAAGGGGAAAAATGTGTTCATTGAACACTACACTTCTGGACACATAGATCTTGCCACGTTCATCCATGCACTGATAACCACAATGCATTGGTGAATACCCTAGGAAAACACAAGCCTTGGATCGAAAGTCCAACTTGTGTGTATTGAATACTCTAAGATTGGGGAAGCATTGACATCCAAAGATCTTGAGAAAGTTGTAATCAGGAACTTTGTCATACAGCTTCTGATGAGGAGAAATGTTGCTAAGAGACTTAGAGGGCATTCTATTGATAAGGTATACTGCACTAAGAACTGCATGAGACCAAAAGGTTAGGGGCATTGAGGCTTGTGCTAACAGAGTCAAGGCAGTTTCAACTATATGCCTGTGTTTTCTTTCTACCACCCCATTTTGTTGAGAGGTATGTGGGCACGATTTCCTGAGTTGAGTGCCAAGTTTACGTGTAACAGCTTCAAGAAAACGAAACTCACCTCCATTGTCAGTTTGCAAGGCAAGAATGGTTGTTTTAAATTGATTTGAGACCAAGGCAGCAAATATTTCAAAGGACACAACAACTTCACTTTTATTCTTTAATAGATAAACCCAACTGTTTCTCGAATACAAGTCTACAAAGCTCACAAAATATCCGAAGCCATTAGAAACAATAGGAGCAGGTTCCCATACATCAACCTCTACTAATTCAAATGGTTGTTTATACACCGTTTGAGACATAGGAAACGGCTGAGTTTTGCACTTTCCCATCTGACAGGATGCACATACTTCACACTTATCTATATTTAGTCTCTTGTTGAGAATTGTCATCACTACCTCAGCTGCTGGATGTCCCAACCTCTTATGCCACAACCAGTATTCATTGGTACTTCTTACAGTAGTGTTATTTAGTGTTGTTGTGTCTTGCAGGGTGTGACAATCAAAGCTATAGAGTCCTCCATCAAGCTTCCCTTCTACCAGCATGATTCCTGTGCTTTCATCCTTAACATAACAAGCATCTTTGTGAAACTCAAAGAAAACTGAATTAGCTTGAGTAAATCTCGAAACTGATAGGAGATTTTTATTAATGTTTGGAACATGCAGAATGTGATCAAGTAAGAGATCTCTAGAACCAGTCTTTAAAGTATTTGTACCAATATGTGCAATTGAAATGGTTGAACCATCTCCTAGATGAACCTTACCACTGCCAATGTAGACTTGTTTGCTTGAGAGTGCAGAAGTAGTGCCAGCCACATGGTGATTGGCTCATGAGTCAGGAAACCATTTAGCATGGCTCAAATGACCATTGGCCACTAATGCATTGACCTGTGCATTATCATGTGGCTCAGTATCAGCTGTTTATTCATCTTCAGCGTTGTTATTAATGAAAAGACTGTAATGATAGTCAGTTGCATGAGGAAAACATGAGCACATGTTCGCATGCATGGTATTAGACGAGGAGCTTTGCTGAGTAGTTACACCTTTGAAATTCTGGTCAAACCTGTGCCAGCACCTGTCAACTAGATGGCCTAACTTTCCACATAGTTGACATTGCTGTTTGGGTCTCCCCTTATACTTGTTACTAGTCGTGTTGTAAGACTTAGTAGACCCACGAATTTTGTACTGTTACATGTCCAAACCCTGATTAGTGTTGTAGCGTGTGAAGTTGACCCCTATTGGGAATCTTGAGGAGTCATCAAGGCGAGATTCAACATCAATGAGGACTGATACCAC